TTCATAGTTAAATAGTGTATGGTTTCTATTTAATTTTGTTGAGAAAAAGTTGGGGCAATGAATTTCTTGAGCCTTATTTATGAGTGATAAAGGGATATAGAGGTTTACTCGTAGAATCCATAAGCGATTGATAATTAACCAATATATTTGATCACTATATACATATATATTAATGGTAATGCTGAAAATGAGATTGTATACTTTTGCAGAAGTGATAGTTGTAATTGGAGGTTGGCTGCTAATTTCAACTGTTGGCAGCTTAAATGACTTTGGCATCTGTTGATTATAAGTTTAAACTTTGAATTGGCTAACAAAATATTTAGCTTGTTAAATATTTTTTGATGACGTTGAAGTTGTTAATTCATGGTTCATGTGTATGATGTGTAGCAGAGTATATTGGCGTTGCTAGCTGTTTGTTGAAGTACATGTAAATTTGCAGGAGCCTGATTTATTGCTTTTGGATGAGCCTACAAATCACCTTGACCTTGATACAATTGAGTGGCTTGAAGGATATCTCAACAAGCAAGACGTGCCGATGGTCATTATATCTCATGATAGAGCTTTTCTAGATCAGTTGTGTACAAAGATTGTGGAGACAGATATGGGTGTTTGCAGAACGTTTGAGGGTAATTATTCACAGTATGTTGAGGCAAAGGCAGCATGGGTTGAAACTCAGTATGCTGCATGGGAGAAGCAGCAGAAGGAAATTGAGCAGACAAAAGATTTGATAAACAGATTAGGTGCAGGGGCAAATTCCGGCCGTGCTTCTTCTGCTGAAAAGGTATGTATGTATGAGGGGGCATTCAGTTCTGAAATATATCCATTTCATCTTGGTTAGCATTCAATAATAGCAGTGTTTAGTTTTAGACCTACGTACATTATCCACTAAATATCATCTATTGATGATGAAAAGAAATTACTACCAGATTGTCAACCTCCTTGACTGACAGTATTCTTTCAAATGAATGCCTAGATTTTCATCAGATTTTAGTAAATCATGGATGATTTTATTTTATAGAATTAATTACATAAATTTGTAAGTGACATTGAATGTAGATTTGGTTTGTGGAACTGGAACCAGAAAGTAAAATGTCACCTATATTGACAGGTTGTAAGTTGGGGATAGTTTCTGTTCTCCTTATTTCAAGTGGATTCATCTGAATTCTATGTTAATTATGATTCATTAGGAAATGGGTGTTGAAATTTAGTTGTAGTTTTATATCATTTGCTTACAGTTTTGCTATCTTATCCCACAAGAATTTCTTCTTTTGTCATCAAGTATTGTAATCACTTTTATCATATCAATTATTTTTCTATTTTGGTCACAAATGATCCACTATTTGGAGGATCACATGAATGGTGTGAAATTTGTGAGGATGAAACCTGTGTATTTTTCTTGATATGGTGGTCAGAGAGTTAATTTTTTAAACACAACTTGGTTATTTTTCTCGTCTTTCTTCTACCTCTTCCATTTTAATTTTATTTGTAAAGACCATTTCTCCTAAGTTATCTTCATGAATGTTCTATCTTCCTAAAATTAGTTCAATATTCCATTGAAACTTTATTTGGAGAATAAGGTCGGTGCTGCGTAAATTTTTTGTCTTTTGATTTTGATAGTGTTTGCTACTCAAATGGTTACAGGTTCTTAGACTTTGTGCTTGTACTGAGATTAATTTTTCAAACTCTAAATATTTTCTGTTTACTTAAAATCTCCTTCTCCTTTCTGAGTGATAACAGAAGCTGGAGAGACTTCAAGAAGAGGGTCAAATAGAGAAGCCATTTCAATGGAAACAAATGAAGATTAGGTTCCCGGAGCGTGGAAGAAGTGGCAGATCTGTTCTTACTATGAAGAATCTGGAATTTGGTTATGATGATGAGGTGAGTTAAGATGTTTGGTAGTATGAGGAAGACAATTTGGACTTTTAAGCTTCTCATTTATGACAAAACTGTGGTTTGTGTATCAGCTGTTATTTGACAGGGCAAATCTTACAATTGAAAGCGGAGAGAAAATTGCCATTATTGGTCCAAATGGTTGTGGAAAGAGTACTTTACTGAAACTGATAATGGATTTGGAGAAGTCAAGAGGAGGTGAAGTGCTGCTTGGGGAGCATAATGTTGTACCAAATTATTTTGAGCAGAATCAGGTATTTGGTCTTTGTGAATAATATGTTATTTGTATCTGAGATGCTTCTGATCTTGCTGCTTAGTTGCTAAGCTCTCCTTTTGAGCTAACAAAGTGCAAAGCACTGACTAATTTAACCAACAATTCATTCAGGCTGAGGCTCTTGATTTGGATAAAACAGTGCTCCAGACAGTGACAGAAGTTGCTGAGAACTGGAGAATTGATGATATTAAGGGTCTCCTTGGACGTTGCAACTTCAAAGCTGATATGCTGGACAGAAAGGTTTCCCTTTTGAGTGGTGGGGAGAAGGTAATTACACTCTATATATAATTTTATATGTTGGATACATTTTTTGCTATTATGGATTTCATTAGAAAATTCTGTTTTCAATCTCGTTTATTTTATACTCCAATATTTCTGGGGCATCTATTCTTATGGGCTGATAATTGTATTGGTGTTAATTCACTACCTGTTGGACAATTTGGCAAAATTTAGGGTACTTTTGTTAAATTTGTAAATTGTCCGATGCTAAATTGAATTCAAATTTTTAACATTCACAAGCTGATGAATTTTGATACAAGACTAACCTAATCTGGTTTTCTTTAATGTGTCATGATCTGCATGTCTGATCCTTCCCAAGCATACTTTTTTGTGAATTAATGGGAATTGCGTGTTGTTTGTCAGCACCTGGCATGCTTAATCATATTAGATACTATGCTTTATTTTTCCTCTTTTGTTTTAAAGGCATGAATTTAAATGTTGCCTTTTCCTGTTTCATTTAGGCACGTCTTGCCTTTTGTAAATTCATGGTAAAACCGTCAACCCTATTAGTTTTGGATGAACCAACTAATCACCTGGATATACCCTCAAAAGAGATGCTAGAGGTTTGTTTTTTTCTAACCTTTTCTCTATTTTCTCCAGTTGACTTTTTTTTATCAATATTGTAGCATTTAGTTTTATCACTCAATAATTCTGCAATCTCTCATTATTCTATCAGGAGGCAATTAGAGAGTACAGTGGCACTGTCATTACTGTTTCTCATGACCGATATTTTATTAGGCAAATAGTTAACAGAGTAGTGGAAGTAAAAGATGGCCATTTGCAGGACTATGCTGGCGATTACAATGTGAGTATGGCTTTCTTGGTTGAACCCTTTTCATCCTTTATTTTCCCTTTGCTGCCTTGAATGTCTGCTTGCATAGTCTTATCTCCTGCCTTTTTCTTTACACATTCTTTGTCTGTTATGAATTAATCAACTGGAGTGTTGGCTTGGTTCAACTTTCAATCTGGTAAAGAACTGAATTTTTTCTATCTTCCATGAGTTCATCCAGAATCTAAACTTTCAGATGCTTGTTTGCTATTTTTCTCCATCAGCTAAGTTTATTGGGGTATTTAACTGAAACATGCTGTTGACTGAGTCATTTCTTTCCGGATTAACTGTTGGCACAAATTTCTGTTGAACAGTATTATCTGGAGAAGAACCTTGAGGCAAGGGCAAAGGAGCTTGAGCGTGAGGCAGATCTTGAAGAGAAAGCTCCTAAAGTGAAAGCCAAATCCAAGATGTCCAAGGTAAGCATTACCCTTGTGATTCCTAGCTTTCTAAACTGGATAGGTTACGGTCACATGGTTTACATAATCGCAACCTTTCTATATCCCCTGGTTTAACAGGCTGAGAAGGAAGCTCGAAAGAAGCAGAAAATGAAGGCGTTTCAAGCTGCTAAACAAAAGTCGAAAGGGCTGAAGAATTCCAAGAGATGGAAATGAAATATTTAATCTATATATACATACATTGGTTAAAGATGATCCATTGGTTAATCAATTTTACAGTGTAAAGTGCCTAGGATGTGAATGACCACCAGCACTATCTGTATATAAAATCTTGACAGAAATACAGTTCTAAATTGAGTTATGATAGAGTTGAGTTCTTACTATACTTCCAAGCCATTTGCAATTCTTGCAGCCTGAAAATGTGATGCAGGGTGACATTCAATGGATAAAGGTGGCAACTAAAGGCTGGTCCAGATTCAGGCTCAATCTCGTACAAATATTAAAATTAAACTGAAATATTTAGACTTCTTCGAGGCTTCTGGCAGGCTATCTTGAATGCTTGAGCTTAAAAAGGGGGAAAAAAAAAATCTCTGGGGTTGATGTAAACAAATGCTATTTCTTTATAATACTATATATTTTTTATTATTATTTGGAAGAAGTATCTTAATTAATAGTTTATTTAGATTGGCATTGAGGATCCATTTTTCATAGACGGTTGAGTTTTTAAGCGTTTAATAAAATTGTCAAATATTAGTATTTATTTTTTTGTTATATTAATTTTTTAAAAAACCTTATATTAATGTCACATGCGTTAATACATAACTAAATTTTATATAATCCAGCCTAAGCAAATTTCTTAATATTTTCCGAATATGCTGTGAATTAAACGTTGTTGTTTAATTCCCTACCTTAAAAAAAATATTATATAACTGATCTTTTAATTATGATATGTTCTTAACATGATTATTAAATTATTAACAAAATATTTAATTTTGTTATCAAAATTTGAGTAATTAATTTTTAGTCTCTTATAATATCTAACAATGTAAAAACATATAATGCTACGTTAGGGATTATGTATCATGTGTTATTATTACATTAATGTAATTTATAATATTATATTAATAACGTCAAATGATTTATTAGATAAATGATTATAAATTGTACATTCTTAACATGTAATTATCGATAAGATTCAAATTAAAAATTTTTTATTGATCCCGCAATGTATTATTAAAAATTAATAATTGAGTAAAAAAAAATCATTTACTCGTACTTTAGTAAGATTAAATAGATGAACATTTTAAAAATAAGATAATAGTTTATTTGACCAAATATTTTACCCAAAAAAACCCCTCAAATTGGAGACTTGAAACAGAGTACTGGAGAGAAGCAAGCAAAGCATCCGCCGATTGAGCAAAAAGCGAGCCACCACTCCTCCAGATTTCCCAATCGAAAACACCGAAACCTTAGAAACAAACATTCATTTGACAAGAAAGTTGGTTTTTTCCTTAGAGTTAGGGGTTTGCCCAGAATTTATATTTTTTGGGTTTTCTTGGGAAGTAGTTGAATTACTAATTTTTTTTCATCATGTTTAATTGTTTATGTTGTATCAGGGCTACTGACATGAGTGGAGTAATGCTTGGCTTGCCAGGGCCATGGGCTGAGGATAACCGTGAGCCCTCTGATCATTATACTACAAAAATTGGTGGACTTCCTGTAAATCTCTTTCTCTTTACGTCTACATATCGTTACCATTTCTCTTTTTGTTGGCTTTTTTTTGTTTTTCTGTTTTATCAACCTGTAAAAATTACCCTTCACTTTGTTTTTTTAACAGGATTGGCCTCTTCCTATGGAGGCTTTAAACCCCACCCTTTTTCACTGCTCTCAATGTGGAAGTAAACTCTGTCTTGTTGCTCAGGTTTTTCTTTTGTACTCTTATATTTGGACTCTAATGCTTTTTCTTCATGTTGCACAAAATTTCAATATGGAAATACAATAATTTATGTTGTTTTGCTAAATTTCTCTTCAGGTTTATGCTCCAGTTTCAAGTGAAACTGTAAAGATAGAAGAGCGTCTTCTTCTGGTTTTAGGGTGTGTGACACCAAGTTGTGGTAGCACTCCTCCCAGGTTCTTTATCTGAATTGTTTGTTTGACCATTATTTATCAATGAAATGTAATATTTTAACTGTATAATGTTATGTTCTCTTTTTTGTACAAGAAAAATGACTATTTAGATGTGTACTTTTTTTAATGAAATATGACTATATAGTTGGCGTGCTCTTCGAGTTCAGAAAATGGAGAACAATACAAATGAATCATCCTCTGCTGCTACTCCGGACAAAATTCTTGCAGCTGCATCTTCTGTTTCTGTTTCAAAAACTAGCTGGTGGGAGGATTTGGGTGATGAGGATGATGAAGATGTGGATCTGGAGGATTTGAGTAAAGCATTTGCTGAAGCAGCAAAGTTGAGTTCACGACCCAAGAAGACGAATAGCAACCGGAATTCTGAGAGTTCTGTGAAGCAGTCTTTGCCTTTACCTGCACAAACGATTGGGCTAGATACTGATGCACCAGGTGAGGTTGCCCTTTTCTGTGATGTGTTATTTGTCAGAAGTACTTTATGTATATAATCATATGTGATGGCTTTGAATCTATGCAATCTTTTTTTATAGCCCAAGTGCCATTGGTTTTAATAAGTTGCATAACAACCAAGTTGTTCCACACATTGCTGCAAACACTGTATTCTCCATCTTTCTCTTCGATGTGGAAAGCAGTAATACAAGAACTTTTTTTTTTCCTTATACTTTCTGGTCTGGAGAGTTGTATTATGATTTCAAAATCTCTTCAAATTACCATCTAAATTATGTCCTCATATTTTTTGTATACTAAACAAAAAAATTTTGTTGTGTTAATAATGCTTTTTCTCAACTCATTTTGTTCCTTTATTGCAGTGATGCCGTGCTTCTACATTTACTGTCAGGCGGAACCATCATTGAAGGATTTTGCTTCTATGTGTTCAAATTACTCTTCACTTTCTGTCAAGGAGAAAGAAAGTGATGTTGAAGATCATGGACAAGAAGAAACATGGGAAGCAGAAAATTATGAATACGACAAGGCTCTGAATGCTGACAGGACTTACCTCAAGTTCAAGAAACAATTGGATGCATCTCCGGAGCAATGTTTCAGGTCATTTAGGGTTATTTGTTGAATGCATATGCTGACAAGCCTTGCTTAAATTGGCATATAGACTTCCTCCCATTTCTGTACCATCACTGGGATCAATGCAAAGTTGATAAGGGATGGGATAATGCATATTGTTCCTTATTATATGTTCATGATTTCATCATTGCTAGGCCTTAGTTAAACTCCAAAAGTTCATCAACGGTGGAATAATAAATGTACCCAAAAAAAAAAAAAAGAACAGGGAAAATTCACTTTGTCATCACCCAGATTACTGCAGGAAGATTTATTGGTTAACGTTGATTCTATTAGTAATTTGAGTTAGGCACTGTTACTCTCAGTATCATTCTCCCACTGCAAGGAAAATGAGCAAAAAAAAAGGAGGAGAAATTATATTAATATTGTTTGTTTAACTTCTTAATGTCTCAAATAGAGAGTGAATAAAAGTTTCTCACTGCCCTTTATGTTCTCAGATATGCATTTGGTGGGAAGCCTCTTCTGGCTGCAACAGAGGTGGGAGATGCTGGGAATTGTGAGCTTTGTGGTACTTCGAGGCACTTTGAAATGCAGCTTATGCCGCCATTAATATATTTTCTGCAAGAAGAAGCTGATGCTTGTCATAAAGGTTCTCTGGAGAATTGGAACTGGCTGACGCTTGCTGTCTATACTTGTTCCAAGGTGAGTTGTCAACTCTTGGATAACACCCCATCCACCTTTTGTTCTCCCTCTATGGCCCTCCCTTCAAAATGAGAAACAACAGCTTGTTTGATTGTTACTATTGATGTTTTAACTCAGATAATCTTTTTCACTGGAATTGACCTGAATGATTAAAAGAGCTGCTGTGTGTTATTTTTAGTACAATTGCTGCTGTGCTTTCTAAATTGATAATTGTTCCTTAGGGTTGTAAGCTTTAACCACTTACGAGTTCAAGCATTCTGCTTATGTGGAACCTGGCAGATTATGTACACTTTTCTTTTTCCTTATTTTGAGTGACAAAGCTTTCCATCTTGTGTTCACCCTTGTGTTACATGTTTCTTTACAGAGCTGTTCTAAGTCATTTGATGAAGAGAAACACGATAGTGGCACTTGGTTTGTGGTCGAGGAAACTGTTATCATGCAATTTGAGAAACCCTTAAATGAGTCTGCTCAACGCTATTTCTCATGATTTGTGACATTTGGCGAATATTTGAGTGTGAATTTTTAATTGGATTTTTTTCCTTTCTTTAAACTATGTTGTGCAGCTTCTATGTATACAATATACAGAGATGAGCCAACATATTGTACATTACTTGGAAGGATCCCCTAAGACAGAGAATAAGTAATATTCTTATTATTTTAATCGTTACTTAATGTTCTATATTATCTCAATGAACCAAACTTTGTTTGTTTTCATTACTTTGTATCATTATCGAATGTTGACATACCTTTATTTTGATTATTTATTTACCAAAGTTTTTTTTTCTTAGCTTTCATTACAACTTTTATTTTATTTTCTTTTCTCTGTCTTTTCCTCATTTTCTTAATTTGTATTTGAAATTTTCTTCTCTAAAAAAAATTGTCTTGTGATATGAGATAAGCATGTGGTAATCAATTAGACTACCAATCAAATAAAAGTTGTCCCCACTTAAGACCAAGTGTAATCGTTTGTTTATACTTTGTGTAAAACCAAGTTTATTTGTTTGTTTGTTTGTAGTTTGTAAAAAGGCTGGCTTCTTTTTGTATTTGATCAATTTCTTGAATGAATTCTATGATAGAGACAGATCAAATTTTCAAGTGCAGCAACATTCAATGTTATTACGAACATGGAAAAGGCTAGAAGAGCTGCGTGTTCTTATTCCAGATTTAAATCAACTAAATAGCAAATGCCCCAGGTTTCAGATTACAATACCCATTCAACTTTTAAGCGTGCATTTTTAGTCCCATCTACTGGAGAGCCTAGCCATCAGTCCATCCCTGGTGTGCAGTATAATGGATAAAGCAGGAACAACAGGGGTTTCTTCCAACGCATGAATAGAATAGTTGTAAATTATAGCAGATGCCACCGCTTTCATCTGAACAAATGCCACTTCCTTTCCTATGCAGGTCCTTGGCCCTGCATTGAAGGACAAGAACTTGTATGATGGTTCATGTTTAATCCCTCGCTTCGAAATCCATCTCTCAGGCTTGAATTCTAAGCAATCTTCCCCCCAGATTGAATTCATTCTTCCCATTGAATACAAGTTAAACAAGATTTTAGTCTTTGGATCAACTGGATGCCCACTGGGAAGAATGTCAGGTTTTAGAGGTTCCTTATGCTGGAACGGAACCGGTGGATACAGCCTTATTGCCTCACACAATGCTCCATGTAGATAAACCAAATTCTCTACCTCTTCAGCATTGAATAGTCGCTTCTCTTGGGTTTCCTCTGCGGGTATGGCTGATTTAAGCTCTTCCATGATCTTGTTTTCCACTTCCGGATGCCTAGAAAGCAGCCAAAAGAACCAAGTGAGAGCAGAGCTCGTTGTGTCCCTCCCTGCAAGCATCATACTCAAAATGGTGTCTCTCAAGAACTTATCATCACATTTCAAACCTGATGACTTCTCTTGATCAGTTAATATATATGATGTTAAGAGGTCTACACCTTCTCTACATATGAACCCTTCGTTCATTTTGTTCAGTTCTTTCCTTTTCTGGTATATATATTTAGCAATTATGTCATCAAGAACTTCCCATGCCTTTCTATATTTCTTCTCTTGCCCAATGTTCAGCCACTTTAGCAACTTAGTAAGGGTTGGTGGCCTGACATGTCGATAAAATATGGCTTCCTCAGCATCATCCAAGGCCTTGGCAAAAAGAACTTCAGGGAATTCCACAGAAAGGCACTCGGGGTCGTAGCCAGTAACCAAGATGCATGTAGAATCAAATGTAAACCTCTGGAAAACATCTTCCAAGTTGACCACCAAGCCTCGTGTGGCAACATGTTCAAGGACAGGAATTAGTCCGTTTTCCACCTTAGCTCGGCTAGTCCTCAACAAAAATTGGTGGAACAGCTGATGTCTCATGAATCCTTGAGCAGATTTCCTCTGCTCTTTCCACAAATCCATGTCAGCATTGAAAATCCCATCTCCCAGGATGTCAAACATCTCCTTGTACTCAGATCCCTTGGGGAAGTTCTGAAAGTTGGAACTCATTATGTAGTGAATGTTGGCAGGGTCGCAGGTCACCAACATGTTCATCTTAGCAAACCAAGGGCCTTTGAAAAGAAAAGTGCAATGGTTTCTTTCGAGAACCTCAGTGCACCAGTTGTGAATCCGATGAATGTTGAGGAGAAGATCAGGCATCATCCCAACAAGCGGGAAACTCTTTGGAGTCCCATCGTTCTTATTTCTCAAGCAGCAGAGAAACAGAAAGCAAATGAAGGCCAAAACAAGTTCAAAAATACTGATTAATGCCATGAAATTGAAAACCAGAAAAGCCAGAAAAGCCTTGGGTATGATACTTGACAAGTACCAGCTTGCAAACAATATATCCAATGAGTCTCAAAATCTAAGAAAAATTTATTGGATATAAAGGAAAGTAGAAGAGTCCAACAAATATGATGTGATTGAGAGGTGGAGCCACAATTTACTCCTTGCACAGAATTGAAGATAGACCCAAGTGATTTTTTCTGCCCTTTCACATCATTAACGTGAGGCTAAGCGGGCGACAGTTAGGCCCGACAATTTGCGTATTTATATAGTATAAAATATTAATAATTTATATAATTATTTTATATTTTATATAAAAATTATGTATTATAATTAATATCAAAAAATATATAAAATATATATTTTAATTTTATTAAATTTATTTTATAAATTTTATTAAAATTTTAAATTATATTATTTTTATATATTTTATTTATATTATTTTAACATCATATTATCATAACTTATTTAAAATTATCACGTAATTGAACAAGAGTTAGAATTATATTAAAAATATGCAAATATTAAAAAAAAAAAAAAACTAAAAAGAAGACGTTTTGCTTGATAAACCTATGATTTTATATTTGAAAAGTTACCAATGATAAGTTTTCTAAAGATGACTCTTTTCCTTTTTCAACAGTAAAAGAAGAATTCTGCTGACAATCAAATTAAAAGATAAATAAATATGAAAAAAAATATTATAATCTAAATAATATTATGTCAGAATTACAAATAAAAAAGAATATTATTGAGTAAAAAATTAAAAAATTTAACTATAAAAAATAATCATAAAATTTATTTATCTTAATGTAACTTTTCGTATAATCATAAAAATTCTTTTTTTTTTTTTGTTTAAAGACAAAATTTGATATTAACTTAAAATCAATTAATTTAAATTAATACACACTCATTAAGGTTCTGATCCTACGTATTTGATTGGGTGAAGGTTTCTACAAGAAAAGATTAAAAATTTTTTTTCATTTGAGGTTGGTAGGGTTTGCAATAAAGTTATATTTCCCTTTGTTTTATTTTGGTTACAATAACATAAAAATTAATATATTTTATTATTTTATTTAAATAATTCAGATAAATTTTTAATCTGTAATTTATATTGAAATAAGGTCTTTACCTAATTTAATTTTTTGTATGAAAGAAGAGTTTATATGGATAGAAATCAAAAGATAAAAATTTATTTGAGTAAAATAAAAATATAAAAATTTATTTAAGAAAAATAAAATAACAGTATAATACTTTAAGGGTTTTTTTAAAAATTATTTAATATTAAAATTTTTTAACTTCACAAATAAAATTAAAATAGTAACATATATCTCATTTTCTTTTTTTTTTTCCTCTTCAAATGAGTTCTAAAGAGTTTAATTTAAAGATGTTTTCTATTAATTTGAGGAACTACAAAACTTGCAAAATGTAATGAGGTATTGAGTTTCCTGAAATAATTAGACAAGTGCATTATCTTTACACATAAAATTCATACCTAATGGCGTAATAAAAAAATATTACTCAATGAAATCAAAAAGTAATTACACATTTTTTGTTATATTATTTATTTTTTTAATCTCTTAAAATTATATTTTTTTGGAACACCGATATTCTTTATTTTTTAATAATTTTTTATTTTTATTTTTTAATCCACGAAAATGAAAAAGGAAACTTATAAAAAGGGACCAAGAGATTATTTGAAAATATAAATATATATGAATATAAAATTTTTATACAAAATCTTTAAATATTAACAACGTCTTTACAAAAATTAAATACCAATAACAAAAAGAAAATTATTATTATCTTGTATGACAATAGAGTTTTAAATTTCACAAGTAAAATTGAAGAGTTAAAATCTATCTATTAATATATATATTTAAAAAATAATAAATTATTTGATTATTAAATAAACTTATATTTAAAAATAATATATATTAGGTAATGTTTTGCGAGCTGCTACGGTTCAATAATAACAATAATTAAAAATACTTAAAATCACTAAAAAATATTTATACATACCTATTTTATTAACCAGTAAAATATTAAGTTTTTTAAAAACGAAAGTGAGATCTATCATGTACAACAAAAACAAAAAAAAAAAAAAAATTGAAATGAGAGGAGAATTTTACAGTACAAATCAGCAAATTCACTATTAGATTTTTTTCAAAATTTGTAAGTTAGGTTTTTTAAATAATAGATTTTACAAAAGGGCAATATAAATTAGTGAGTATATTCATTAATAAATCATAAGAGTTTAAATAAAATGGTAAAAAAAAAAAAAACTTACAATTCGATGAATTTTTTTAGAGAAACAAAATCTGGATAAATTTGAAGAATAAAAAATGGATAAATTTTTTTTTAAGGTTTGCTTATAAAGGCTTTTGAAAAATTAACAAAATTAAATAGATTTACAAGAAAATAGATAGATAAGAAAGAGGAAAAGGTTTCATCTTTTTTTGGATTTAATGAATTAAACTTTTCACTTTCTATTCATGAATAAAGTAATTGTGATAATAGGGTAAAGAAACCGATAATTGCTAAAATTAAATATTTATTAATTTGAATATACTTTTAGATAATTGTAAAGTTTTAATTTGTAAGTTGAAAAATCAAACTAATTTATAGAGTCATACAATCAAAAAAATAGAAAGATTTTTTTTTTTAAAATAAGAGAATAGCTTATTTATGAAATTGACATGTAACAGAATTACGTTAGATATAGAGATATTTCAAATTTCAGTGAAGTGAAATGACTTTTATTTCATACCACATGATAGTGTCAAAAAATATGATGCAAAATATAAAAATATATGAAAAATTATCAAATTCAATGACAATAAAATTTTTTAATTTTACAAACGCATTTTATTATACATATCTTTTACTGTATATATAAAAAAATTAAAAAATAATTAAAAAAATAAAATATGTGTCATCGTCTTAACTCTATATATGAAGTTATAAAATTTAACTATTAATATATCAAATAATTTCTTGAAATATAAATATGATAATAAATTTATTGTCCATACATATGTGGG